GAGTTAATTTGACATTTTGTGTTGTATATTAAATATAGAGAGCATTATATTTATTTTATAATCATATTTTATGGCATGGCATCCTTCGGAAAATGAGGACTTAAAATCATAAACTGATGTTTGAGACAGAAACACATTTAAACTAATTTATCACCCATCAAACAAATAAATAAAAAAATCTCAAGAAATTCAGTTTATTTTTTTCTCTTCACCCTTCTGATAATGTTTCTTATAGTCATTTTAATTCCAAATGTAAAACACACATAATAACTTTTGTAATGTATGTAACCTTCATTGCCATAGTGATGCTTACACTTAACCTACTGTCTGTAATATTTTTACTTCATTCTGTTATAAAAAAACTACAGTTGTTTGTTTCAGACATTTCTGAAGCTCTATGACTTCATTATCAACTCTCCTCAGCAGAAAGCCATCTGTGTTTCTTTGCTCATCTTTCAGTTCATTTTTTAGACAAATAAAACAGAACTAAAACCTAATTTTGAGAGCAAAAATTTAAAAACATCCCACTGTTTACGCCTGTTTAATTAGAACTCTGTACATTGATTTGTTTTGAAGCTATAACTTTGTAAAATGTTCAAAACACTCCTCTGCACTTACAACTGATGACTACCTGCTGGGAAACAGGCACTAAAAAGGCTAAATGTTTCATCAGGTTTCGACTAAAAATACAAATATATAAAGCTAAGGTTGTGAGTGATTTTTTAAAGTGCTTTTTGTGCATGTTTAGAACGTTTGCTCAGAATTTTTACAGAATAATCCCATTAAAGAAAACACAATCTTTATCATGTCAGACAAGGTGGAGGAGAGTCTCTCAGAAGAGGTGGGGCTGCTTCTCCACGGTTCTCACCGGGGTTTCTTAAGGCCTCGTCCCTTTGCAGAAGGCCAGCAGAGATAACACTCTGACCTTCCATCTCTCTGACCTTCACTGGCCTGATCCTGCTGGTCCAGCTTCACCATGTCCTCTGTGATCGCTCTGCCTCCGGGGTGCCCMGTCAGACCTCCCAAAAAGAGGGCCAGGTCCCAGAAGAGGACCGTGTCAGCCCTGATCCTGAAGGCTGTGTCCGGGTCCGCACAGCGCGGCGGAGTGTCCCTGGCAGCCCTGAAGAAGGTTCTGAAAGCCGGAGGGTACGATGTGGTGAAAAACAAAGCCAGGATCATCGTTGCCATCAGGCGTTTGGTGAACAAGAAGTCTTTGGTCCAGACCAAAGGTAGCGGGGCGTCTGGCTCCTTCAAGCTGAACAAAAAGCCTCCGAAATCCCGTAAGAGGAGGGTGGTGAGAAAGAAGAAGCCAAAGAAGGCCAAAAAGGCCAAGAGGGTCAAGAAAGCAGCTGGAAAAGCCAAGAAGGCACCGAAGAGGAGGAGGAAGGCAAAGAGCGCCAAGAAAGCCAAGAAACCTGCAGCCAAAAAGACCAAGAAGGCAAAGAGACCCAGGAAGACCAAGGCCAAGTCCACCAGAACCAAGGCTGCTGCCAAAAAGTGAAGGCTGCTCCTGGAACCCAGAGACCTTTCTTCAACCTGTCTGTGTGGACTAAGATGCTTTTGATTCAATGAATTTGCTTCATCTACTTTTTATTCTACATTTTATGAAATACTAAACTTGCTCTTTTACCTCCTTCTGTGTTACCTTATCTCCTGTTTCCTTTCTCTTTTATCTTTTATGGTAAAAGTTTTATCTCATGCTCTGATTTGTAATAGACTAAAATGCACTGTTGGAAATAAAAACATATATTTACATACTATAAAAAGTGTGTAACAGAATGTTATTTAAAAAAACACTTTATAATTCTTAAAAAAATCTAAATKTAAATAAATAAATAAATGAGTGGATTTAAAGGCCATGTAAATTGTAGGTGAGTGATGTGACGACTAATATAACAGAAAAAAAAGTTATGATCAATGTTCCTCTCAAATTTTTTTCTGTTATATTCTACAGCAGTGGTTTTCAAAGTGTTTAGCTTCTGACCTGCACCAGCTACAGAAACTTGAGACCCCAGATATTACTGGTTTAGGTAATCAAACTTTGCTATTAACTCTGTTAAACTTGGGTATAATAACAATATATACAAACCTAATATATACTACTTTTATTCATTTCCTCTTATTATTATTGTAAATAATAATGGTGAAGATATTCCATTAACGATGTATTTACATTTAAATTGATGACTGGAAATCATCTGGGGACCATCATGTTTCACGACCCACAGATAAGTCCCAACCCCAACTTTGGGAGCTGCTGTTCTACAGTAGACTTCAAAAGGCACTGTATCTTCAACAGTTAGGAGGTTTGGTGTCGCCATCTGCTGGCCAATTCTTATTACAACACAAAATTAAACAGCACAAGTTTTTCTTTTTTTAACCCTAATTCAGGTTTGACCCCCCCCCCCCCCCCCCCAATTACACATGGGTATTACATGTAGGCCTACAGCTACCCTAATGTGAAATAAATAATGCAGAAATACTATCAAAAGTAAAAGTAAGAGTTTTACTCATTGTTGACTTGTGGTAAGTACACCTGTTGTCTTGAATGATGAACTTTTTAGCAACAGGAAGTTTCCACTCTCATTCCCATTAAAGACACACAGAAGTCACCCGCTTGTGTTTGACAAAACTCAAAAAATGGCATCATGCAACAGTGTAGAAGTTTAGTTTTAGCTGATGTAGTGCTCTTTTACATTGCCATTTTTGAGAAAGGGTTGTTTAAGTCTGAAAAACTAGTATGCAGTATAAAGAAACAAAACAAAGAACTGTCATTGGGCTATAGCCAAGATGAAGACTTTTGCTTCTTTCTCCATACTTTGTGCTCTTTGATTGATGTCACGAATAATATTTAACTACTGATAACTATTAGATGTAACATTTTATTTATTTATTTATTTATTTATTTATTTATT